TTGTCTTTACAGGCTTAGTTCAATAGCTGGATCTAAGCTTGCATATAATAACCCAGGCATAACCGATCTATCAGACAAGAACAGGCCACAAAAGCTAGGAGAGAAGTTCAGTGAACTCTATGACAATGAATGGACAGATGCCATAGATTCTCTCACAGAAACTATGGAAGAAAAGAAGGCCATTTTAATGCTACGAAACGCTCTCAGATATGTGTACGAAAAAACGAAGAAAGCGTCCGAGGACCAGTACCGGAATCTTCAAATGGCTTTGTTCCAGGTAAATGTCTGTTTAAAAAAGGACACGTCATGAAATGAAATAAAGAATTGTGTTGTATTATTTCCAATTGAAAAACTTTGTCTAATTGAATTTGATTTTTGAGAATTTTTAAAAAATCATTTGTCTAAAATTCAAATCATTTTATTTTAGAGAGATCTAAGAAATTCTGAGGCACAAAGTTTCATACAAATCTACAGAAAAATCACTGAACTACAGAAAGAGGTTTCAGCGCTCTCCATCAGTAATACCAAGCAGGTAAAAATCATACTTTTTCTATTTCATATACAGATACTGTTATAGTCCTATCCCCTCCTCTACCCAATGTGGCATAAACTATTATTCAACTTATTTTTATGTGCATAACTCTTTAAATATCTAAAAAGAAATATATTGATAACAAAATAATAAAAATCGAAATTCAGTTTGCCCTTATTATTATGACAAACATATCTATTAATGAAAATCTAAATTCCGTTTACCCTTATTATTGTGACAAACATATTTTATTAATGAAAATCTAAATTCTGTTTGCCCTCATTATTAAGACAAATATATCTATGTACTCTGTGTTCCAATTACAGTTTTTAAGAGACGATTCGAACTTTATGCTGCCGTATGAAATCGTTGTGAACTGCTGTGAACCATTTGTTGATAAATGTGTGGAACTTTGCTGGATGATGCATATTCAGGATCCACCTATGGTTTTAGATTTTGGATCTTCAGATATCGTAGACAAAAACATGTTTAGACTTTTTACTAGAAGTGGCGACGTCGTTGACTTTGTTGTGTGGCCTGCTGTCTTACTGCACGAAAACGGGCCTCTGGTTCAAAAGGGTGTTGTCCAACCTATAAAGACAAAATCAAAAACTAATGGAAAAGACCGTTGATAATCTCAACAAATATCAATAATATTACCTATCCTTTGTGGAATGAGTACATTTTCATGCAATATGATGTCTCAACGACCTTGAATTCGGAAGTGATCAATTCACTGTGAGCGACGATCAGTCTGTGGACATGCCATTATATAATGTAGAATGACCAATGTTGCGGGGAAAAGCACAATTAAGTCTATACTCTCTAATATTAAAAGCGAAATATGAATATTTGAATTTTTTAAATGTGCCAAAACTTTCTATTTATTCCTTTGTTTTTATACATGTTATGTTGTTTTATTTTTCTATTTTTACAAATAAAAAATAGTTTGGAAAAAACGACACTTTTATTTCTTTGTGGATTGATGAATAATTACCAACTTATTTTAAACTAGTACATTGACTTGCATGTAAGGAATGAACAACCTAATTAATCATTTTTTTAATTTAATTTGCAGTTTAAGTTTATATGAAACAATTGTGTTAATTAGGAGTATGTTACCTCAGTAAAATATAAAAACAATAGAATTTATGATTTTCTGAATGAAAAAAAGTACTCTGATTTTAAATGAAAAGGGTGAATGTTATTAACCTTAATGGATCTCATAAATTCTTAAACAATACGAATTGTGAACTGAGCCCCTGGAAAAACAGAGGAGGGATCAGGTGCCTCTGAGAAGTAAGCAACCCCTGTCGATCGATCTCAGCCTTGTGAATTGATCAGGAAAATGGAATTTGTAGTCAACAGTTGTGTGAGTGGAAAGGTCTTATTGGATGAAACGTCAGTGTAAATACGACCCATATAGGTTCTATTTGCAACAATATATCGAAATGATGACTTTTAAGGGGATTGTTGAGGTCGTAAATCATGCATTTATGCATCTCATGTACCATTTACACGGTTTTGAGTGAATAAATTGATTGAAACTTATTTGTCAGAAGTGCCTCGATTTAGAAATTTATCGTTCTCAGAACTTGTTCTTGAATCGGTTGGGAGACAAAACACCACATTCAAATGATACTGGAATTTTACTGCAAAAATAGGGGAAGATGACGATGGAAAAGCTGGTCATCACGTTTGTCATAAAGTTTTGTTATTAGATGGCCGTTAAGCCTTAAGTCAAACATCCAAATATGAAACAAATATGGCAGACTCTGTGGTGTCTTTTATTTCGAGTTCTTTGAGAATTGTCGAGTCGACATATGAATGAAAAAAAATATTTTGAATTAATAAAACACCGTCGTTGTCTATATGTCGAATTGAATGACACAGCGAGAGTTTTCTTCTCAAACAGAAGTTTTTTAAAATAAATTCTGCTTCATAATAATTTTATTTAAGGGGCCGGCTAATAAAATAGCACAAATTAACTGCCCATAAAATTCCAACAGATAGTTCGAAGACCTTGTGTCGAAGGACAACATAGATATTGTGAATTAAATACTTCAGCATCTTGTTGATATAAACTTCAGTGTGCTTGTGCGTAAAATCAGAATTTTTTTAACAGAGTAATTTCGTAAATGACCAATGACAAGGTATGAAAATTTCCGAGTTTCATTTTTCTTGAATGTTGTCAAATAGCCTGGGAAAATTGTCATTTCAGGTATAATTTCAGGTTCAAAATGATTATGACATATTAAAGAGTATTTTTATTATGTATATATGCAAAGACGTCTCTTTTTACATAAGAGAATGAGTTTGCGCGAAAGTGTGTATCTGCTGTAGTAAAAAAAAGCATAGCAATTTCTGTATCTGTTACCAAATTGGTATGATCGAGGAATCAGCTTTTTCTACGTACACTCTACATTCCTGAAATACAATGGTTACGATTTCAGTGGTTTGGGCTTTATTGACCATGGATATCGACCGGATATCAGTGGTTTCTGAGAAGCAATGAGGGGTCCCAGACTAAGCATTTTCTCTCTTCCTGTTACACAACGATGGCTTTCTTAGAATCCTAATAATGTCCAGCAATTTTAGGATTAGGATAAGGGGGGCAAGAGGGTTTCTAAAGGGTTTCAAGTTGAATTGATTTAACCGTCTACTATACGTATTGATCAATATATCAAACTGGGACAAACATACAACTAATCAAAGTATTGCAAAGAAAATACATCAGATATGATGTATTGTTTGTAATGAAAATTTCTTATAGGCCTACAAATCTTAATGAAAATTGAAAATATTACTGAACAACAGAAAGTGACTATAAGTGACATATGCACAGAAGTCAGGAGACAATGAATGAAATTCGTACTTAACACTAAATCAGCTTAGTTGGTACAGCAAACATAAACCTTAATCATATTAGATACTGTATCCGTTAGGTCATTACACATGTTTTAAGCTCATCTGAGCTGAAAGCTCAAGTGAGCTTTTCTGATCACCCGTTGTCCGTCGTCCGTCCATCTGTCCGTCCGTCTGTAAACTTTTCACATTTTCAACTTCTTCTCAAGAACCACTGGGCCAATTTTAACCAAACTTGGTACAAAGTATCCTTGGGTAAAGGGAAATTTAAATTGTTAAAATAAAGGGCCAAGTCCCCTTACAAGGGAAGATAATCAAGAAAAGACAAAAATAGATGGGGTCATTAAAAAAATCTTCTCAAGAACCACTGGGCCAGAAAAGCTGAAACTTCTGTGGAAGCATCTTTTGATAGTGTAGATTCTAAATTGTTAAAATCGTGATCCCCGGGGGTAGGGCGGGGCCACAATAGGGAATCCAAGTTTTACATTGAAATATATAGGAAAAATCTTTCAAAATCTTCTTCTCAAGAACCACTGGGCCAGAAAAGCTGAAACCTATTTGGAAGCATCTTGGGGTAGTAAAGATTTGAAATTGTTAAAATCATGACCCCCGGGATAGGGCGGGGCCACAATAGGGAGTCCAAGTTTTACATTGAAATATATAAGAAAAATCTTTAAAAATCTTCTTCTCAAGAACCACTGGATCAGAAAAGCTAAAACTTATGTAGAAGCATCCTTGGGTAGTGTTTATTCTAAATTGTTCAAATCATGACCCCCAGGGGTAGGGCGGGGCCACACTAGGGAATCCAAGTTTTACATTGAAATATATAGGAAAAATCTTCTTCTCAAGGACCACTGGGCCAGAAAAGCTGAAACTTATGTGGAAGCATCCTGGGGTAGTGTAGATTTTTATTGTTCAAATCAGGACCCCCGGGGGTAGGGCGGGCCACAATAGGTATTTCAAGGGGAAATCTGGTAAAGAACAGCATGGCCAAAGTTACTCAGGAGAGCGATGTGGCTCATGGGCTTCTTGTTATTTGATGATACACACTCAATGTGTGTTGTGTATGATCAGTATGAATCTTTAACTTCATTGATAAAGATTGTAACTGTTTGATAATGTTGCAAAGTAGTTCATATACAGTAGATGCAATAAAATTAATCGTTTTTGTATATTATAGTAGTGCTTCATAATAATTTTATTTAAGGGACCGGCTAACAAATTATATATATAAAAAAAATTATATAAATATGTACATGAATTCATAAATGGAACAAATCTGACGAAATATATAGAACTATATTTCTTCATTAAAAAAATGGCACCCATGCATCACAGATCATGTACATATTAGTCTACATTTATCAATATATGATAGGAGAAGTCCTGCATAGTAACAGTAGGATTCAAAAATATCTATTACATTTTAAATCTTGATACATATGATATCATTTGTATTGAAAAAAAAAAAACACGTCAAAGTTTTGAATATGTCTGAAAATGGTTCGATTATGTTATGACTACATATACAAAGGCTGTTCAACATATTCTAGCTGTGCGTCACTTTACGCATGATAAGTGTATATAAAGGGAATAGTCGATCAGCGAACGATATTTTAATCTAAAGATTCACGATGACTGACGTAAACAATTTAATTCTTCTCATATCGAGGCTACAGGGAGACCTAGACGAAACTCAACGCAGACTAAAAGCTGAGACATTGGAAAAAGAAAGGGCCCTCACGAGGTATTTATCATCATGAATGAATTAAAAAAAACATCTATTTTTAAAAAGATACATAGAATGCATTTAAGAAAAATTGCTTTTTCTGTGTCCTTTAAACCTTTGAGTCAAATATTGTTATTAAACTACAGTTTTACTAAAACAATATTAAATTCATTTGAAGTACAGAGCTCTAGTGCATAATATTTTCATTCTTTTCTGAATTAATTTATGTTAAAAAATCCTGATTATCTGTACAAAAATGTTAACAGTTGTTCAAGACCAATTTTCAATATAATGTTCATGAAATATCGATGTTGCAGGCTCAGTTCAATAGCTGGAACAAAACTTACATATAACAACCCTGGTATCACCGATCTCTCAGACAAGAACAGACCACAGAAAATTGGTGAAAATTTCAATGAACTTTACGACAATGAGTGGACAGAGGCTGTTGACCAGCTATCGGAGGATCACGGAGAGGAAGGTGCGGTACAAATGCTCAGGGAGGCTCTTAAGGTAAGGAATCTGTTCAAATTTTATCTAATGATACTAAAACTGAAATATTTAAAAAAAAATTAACTTTAAATCTTCGCATTCTGTTGGCCATTTCAAATTTAACCAATCCTAAGTTCGGTTATATGATATTTTTTCTGGTGACGTGTTTCCAAAACAACTCTGTATTATAATTTTTTGTAACATATCATGTGCATTGTGAATTGTTTTGCTGCACTCCAGTTTACGCCAGTGCACTCAATGACGTTGTGTTTATTGTAGTTCATTGCCAACAAAACAAAGAGCTCAGCTGACAAGCAGTACAAGAATTTACAAGAGGCGTTGTTTCAGGTATGAATTGTCAGACATTCATATATTATACATACATGCACATATACAGGCTATCTAAATAAATTTGTAGGTTTTTCGATTTTTAAAACAAATCTAATATTTTTATTAAATTTAAACCCTTTTTAAATTAACTTTGTTAGAGGCAAAGAGAAATATCATTAATGTCCATAAGTGAACACAAATACATATAAATTCATTCTCAAATTATGCAAAATTAGCTTGTAAGATCTATTATGTTAATCTTCAAACAAACAATTTAGTATCACGTACAAGCTATATCAGTGAAATATTTTATGTAACACATTTTAGAGAGATCTGAGAGAATCCGAGGCTGGAAATTTTATGACAATCTACAAGAAAATCAGCGATCTACAAAAGGATGTCTCCAGTATCTCTGTGGCTAATGCTAAAAAGGTATTGAAGTCTACCTAATCACTAATAAGCAGCTGTAACTGCAAATTTTACTTCAAAACAATACATTCAAATATTTAAGTTCACCTAGTGCATTTAATAAAATAAATATGCATTTTTTCAGTTTCTGAAGGAGGATACAAAATTTGTGTCAAAGTATAAGGACGTGTTATTTGGTTGTGAAGCCTTCGTATACAGATGTATAGAACTGTGTTGGATGATGCATATCCAGGACCCACCCATGTACTTAAAATTTGAATCTCCAAATGTCATTGACAAAAACATATTCAGATTGTTTACAAGAAGTGGAGAACGTCCTGACTACGTGGTTTGGCCCGCGTTATTATTACATGAAGATGGACCTCTTGTTCAAAAGGGCGTAGTCCAACCTGTTAAATCGAACACTGCTGGTAAAAATTCAACACCGATAACATCAGAAAGGACGATTAATAAGTGAAAAGTTGAAAGGTTGAAAAAGCACTTGATTCAGAATAAGATTTGCCATAAAGAACAGTGTACAGTCTCATACTGGGAACTTTGACAACAAAGAATATACGAAAACCCAAACAGCATTTATACGCATTAAAATGTCTTGTCCACAGGGAACTGTTTAAATCGAGGGACATGTTGCATAGACTGAGAAGACACAAACTCGAAATATCTCGTAAAGCAAGACACCATCCTCAACCTAAATGTTCCCTTGACACAAAATTTGAAGCTAGTCATTATGTTAGTTTTTATGAACGTGAAATCGAAAATCTGTAAAGTCCCTTGGCTAAAAAAATTGTGTTCATTTTATGTTTAAATAAAGAAGTTTAGACTAATCGTTGGATTGTGACAATTTGACTTTATTTTAGTGTTTTACCTTAATCATTTTCAATCATAACTTGAATTTATACATTGACATATTAAAAAAAAGATAAAGTAAAATAGTATAGGAATATTAATTTTGTATTTGGTGACCTTTTTTTGCCATGCGTGAGTGGGGTTTTGCGTCATTCTACTAAATTTATTTTGTTATCGAATGTTGCACCTTGTGAAAAAAAAAACAGAAAACAATCTTACGTCATATACCAACCTGATATCGACTACCATTTAAATTTCATTCAAATTCTTCCTCGACCATTTGTGTTTACGCCATATTAGGTATCGGAGGTTTAAATATTTTGTCCTACATTGTAAACGTAGTAGTAAGGGACATTATACCAAATGGCTTTCTGCTAAGATATCTGACGCATATTCTATAAATCGAGATAATCACACTGATATCTACAGGAAATGTGGGTAGTAGTGGTTGGAGGAGGTAACTGCATATAATATCTGAAAGTTTCCTAATAGAAAAGGGAAAGTTATAGAATATTTTGTACACGGAAATATGACTCCATCCATTTTTCTGAAAGAAACTTCATGCATTTTATCAGTGAAGAAATGCGTGAATTATCAAAGATTCAGCAGTCAATGTATTTTTAGGTCTTTTCAAATTCCAATGGAAAGTATATATCACAAAACAGTGAAAAAATCCTTTTGGTAGGTTAGGGCTAATTGACTATATGGGATATCATAGCCAGTTTGTAATATACAATGTTATATCAAAATTAGAATGCAAAAAAAAAAAAAAAATGGGGAAAAGATATTTGTTTTTTTTTTAAAGTATGATATGAAATGTGAAAATTATGAACAGTAATCAAGCTCAAAAGTCCATTGAAAAAATACAATATTGAAACGGGGCAAACACAAAACCCTTAAAACGTATGAGAAGGGATCAGGTGCCATGAAGGAGTAAGCATCCTATGATGACAGTTCGGATGCTCTGTGTCATAATCGGAAAAATGCGTAGGCAATCCAGTGAGAAAATAATGGCCTAACAATTTGTATGAAAACGTCAGTCAACATTAGATTTAATGATATAATGTATTTGCTGATAAGATCATTGTATCAACTATAGAATTTGCGAATCGTTGACTTTAAATAAGACTGTTGATATCCTTGTATCACGAACTTATTTCTCAATAGCTTGCCTCGTTTTAGAAACTGTTCATATGTAGAGCATGCTCTTGCGTATAGAATCAAGTGGGAGACATCAGCATCATATGCAAGTGCTAACAGTACAATTCTCTATAAATAAGGGAAGTCGACAATAGAAAAATTGAAGTCATCACGTTTATCATAAAGTATATATCAAAAGGAACAAATTTTAGCAAGCAAGGATTTTTATAATTTGTTCTTGCTGTAGTTAACGACGTCAATTCGTACCTAACATATGCATGATGGTTAATTGATAAAAAAAAGTCCAGATGCTAAGATAGTCTGTATGGCTCTTAATTTAGAAATTTAAACTATATGTAACCATAGTTGTACTTTCACAACTATTTTCTCAGGAATTATAATACAGTATTGTTATATTATATCTTAATGATTAATTGAAGTGTATTGTCCATGCTGTATTTTCACTCTCTGAAGAACTCTCCAAAATTTGTTCCAAACTGTAAAGATGTGTATAAATGTAAATGTGATTTTTGTGGACAGATATGTATAATTGTTGGACATTTTATATACAAGCCTATCTATATACTTACAATTTCAAACATCATTGACTAATGCAGGCATGTTCACGCTGTTTTCAATCATTGACAAACATCCTGGTTATGTTGTTTGGTGCTGTTATTACATGAAAAGGACCTTTTATTGAAAATGATGTTTTCCAATTTTCTACATCAAACCCTGGTGATAAGAACTTTAATTTCTAGTTATAAGAACGAAGAGGATTCTGCATACAAGTGTATAACTGAAGGACAATGGAGATGCATTTATTCAATTTTTCTTGTCGTATTCTTATACATCACGAAAGGTATACTAGTACGTCCTTACACTGGCCATGGCCTGCTCTTAGAATTAAGAATTACACATCTAGTTGAAAATTAGTGAGTAAAAGCAGCATTTTGATAAGTAACTTATTGATTTAAAATCTTAGACTTACACAACTAGCAATCTAAGTAATGTGTTAGTGAGATCAAAGAATCACAAGATTAAACATCTTAGAAAGCAATTCATTAAATTACCCGGTAATTCGCCATATCTTCCTACATCCCTGATATTGTCATTCTGTGTATATATATCTGTTCTTGGAGGGTATAATCTCAGATTATTTGATTGATATAGTCCAAAAATACCTAAAACATGTGTTAATCTATGAATAAAACAAATTATAACAAAGCTTATCATGCCGTATATGTAAAATATGAGGCTTTATTGTTGTATATGTATCACTTATTATGGTTTCTTTTTTGTTGTTTTGGTAGGTAACAAGGCTATATTTGTGCAATGTGTTTTGGAAGAATCTTAAAGTTAGTTCTGCGTCATATATTCTGGATTGCCGATTATTATTGTATTTTATTTATATACCTTCGCCTCATATCTAGGCCATATTGAGTCATACCTATTATGAGAAGATTTAAATGTACATGTAATTCTAAAAGCAAGGGACGTGAAACAAAATTGTTTATCGCTAATAAATCTGAAGCAGTTATTGCGCTTAACACAATACAGAAAGATACAAGAGGAACTAGCTTAAATATGTACCATACGTAGGTTTCACTATTTTAATCCAATACATAGAAGTAAATGGCACTTCTTCGGTAATTATATAAATGTTGAAGATTTATATACCGTACTTCTTCATAATTTTTAAAATCTATATTATTGCCATTTATTTAATAAGTCCCAAATATATATAAATATATTTTGATATTAAGATAGTATGCAGGTTTTGTCAAGAAATAAATTTTCCACATATAGACATTTGTGATAAGGTTGGCGCATTAATTAGATAAAGAAATCCACGTATTGTGCATAGACTAAATGTATACAAAATCTCTCTCTCTCTCTCTCTCTCTCTCTCTCTCTCTCTGGTCTTCTTGTTCCGTGACTTTTGATTTGTCTCAGTTTGTTTTGTTTTCTTCTGACTATGTATCAATTAATATTGCTTTTATTTTCAGAAAAATATTGTCTGTATAAAACACAAGAGTATAAGTAAATTTAATGCGCGTATATTCAGCAAAAGAACATATAAACAAAACAAAACATACACAAACTTACGAAACAAAATAAAGGGGAAAAATGATTTTAACACTTTTCATTTGGACTATGAACCATATAATTTTGCAAAAATGAAAGAGTGGTTTGATTCTTGCATTTAATTACTATAGAAACTTGGCTTTAGAAATTTCCCCAGCAACTGATAAATTAGACACGTGGATGAACATTTTCCCCCATAAGCCTGGATCCGCCAAACCTTTTTTTATCCACGTTTACAGTTCAATTCTAAGAGTTAGCGCCCTTGTTAAGCCAATAAGCTTATAAGATAGTCGAGTCAAAACGAAAGTAAATGTATAGATTTTATATCCTGGTAAATGTGACTTTAAGTAACATCGCAAGCTTTTAGACCAGTACCAGAAATAATGCTGACGACGACATTTCTTTGAAATGTAAGTTCCTATTTGTGTATAACTACTCCACACAGAATGTTACAAATCATTAATCAAGAAAATTTTGTACTGACATTATTATAATGCTTTTGTTGATACAGCTGTCTTTCCATTTCTCAGAAATGATTGATCAGAAATTTATCTTAAGTTTCCTTTTTTCAATTCAGAAACTAAAAACGAAGAACAATTAGCAATGTATGGAATATTATTAAAATAATATACATTGTGTACATATATACAATGTTGTAATCTAATTCTCCTTAAAAATTGAAAGGGCGTAATTCCATCAAAAATCATCGAAGCTGAACGAAATCAAACTTGATCTGGAACTCATCAGACTCACGAACCAAAAAATCAGTTCAGTATCTGGAGGGCTTAGGGAAAAGTGCGGAAAAGAAATTAAGTTAAATTGGAATCTGGTTACTATGGAATTCCATATACGACAGCCAACTGCTTACTGCCAACTGCTCACTGCTTACTGCCAACTGCTCACTGCTTACTGCCAACTGCCACACATATTTGAATAAATTTTCATATTTATATTGATATTTATGTTGTGATTTTCATAAAACCAGGCGTGGATCCAGGATTTTTTTTAACAGGAGGGGCCCACCCCAGTAAAAAAAAAAATCCAACCCAGAAATTTCTTGACAAAAAAAAAAAACAAAAAAACAAACAAACAAACAAACAAAAAACAAAAAAACCCCGTAAACTCCTTTCTTAAACGTGAAAAACCTATTAAACCTATTTCGGCGTGTGTGTGTGTGTGTGGGGGGGGGGGGGGGGACGCCTTATGTTTCATATCTATGATTTTCATATCAACTTAACACGGATCCGCGTTTTCTAGAGGGGGGGGGGGTTCCAAGGTCACTTTTAGCTGGTATAGTATAGGTCTATACATTAAATAACTCTACAAATTCCAGGGGGTGGTCCGGACCCCCCCCCCCTTCATAACGACCCCCCCCCCCCTAGATCCATGTATGTAAAACATAACTTATTTGGAAAAATAAAGAGATATGAATCTTTCATTTGAAAAAAAATATTTCACTACAGAAATTAACGGAAAATGGAAATTTATTTTCAAAACATCTTCCCCCGCGAGACAACAGATCCTTTGTTTCAGTTTTTATTCATTCCAAAGGTTTTGTTGTCTCGGGGGGGGGGGGGGAGGCACGTGTTTAAAGATTAAAAACAGGAAAATAGTCATTTTATTACCAATATTAAATGAGATCACAAATAAAAAAATGTACTTTATCACTTTATTAATATCATATGTCAAATTTTACATAAGTTAAAACATACGGTGAGATTTAAGAGTCATTTATCCATTTTCATTTTCATGAGTATTTGAAAATGGTGATGTTTTCAGCCTGATTTTAATTAATAAAATTTTCTACCCCCTTATGAAAGGAGTTGTAAATAAGAGCAATTAACTTTTTGTCACTGGTTTTTAAAATTAGTACTTAATACTAAATGAACTTTTCTTTTCATTCAAACAAGTTTTTATGTCCAAATTGCCATTTATATTGAATTAAATGAATGGAAAATGTAGGCGGGAATCGAGAGTTAGTGTGCGTAGTTCTTACAATAATAACAAAATTTGGCGGATTTAGGAATTTTTAAACTGTAAAGTCGAGGAAGGAGTAAATCGGAAGAAGGGGTGTTTTCTCTTAAAAACAAAACATTTAATTTCTGCATTTCGTTGCAGGCAAATAATTTGATAGCTTTTTTTATGCGGGTAAGGGGAAGGGGGGGGGGGTCATATACGACAAAAGAACAAACTTTTAAAAGGGTCTTGAGTAACATTTGTTGGTATATGTATTTATAATAGAAATATTACTGAAAGTCATAATAACAAATAACTTTTGCCTAGCTTAAAATATCTAGCAATATCTTTCGGATTTTCTTTTTATCCTAGAAAAAGTACCTATGTATGGGAATTTTTATGTGTGTCTTGTGTAAATCGTTTTAATGGCTAATGTTCGATCTGTTAGATCTGTAAAAAACATTCGTGGTGGTGGTGGTTGGGGGGGGGGGGGTAACCACTAAATTTCCAGCATATACTATATACAGTAGTTCTCCCTTACGGAAGCGTATTAGTGCAGGAGGTAGGGGGTTAGTAAGGGGGTAGAAAATTTTATTAATTGAAATCAGGCTGAAAACATCACCATTTTCAAATACTCATGAAAATGAAAATGGATAAATGACTCTTAAATCTCACCGTATGTTTTAACTTATGTAAAATTTAACATCTGAGATTGATAAAGTGATAAAGTTCATTTTTAATTTGTTATCTCATTTGAAATTAGTAATAGAATGACTATTTTCCTGTTTTTAATCTTCATAAAGACTCCCCCCCCCCCCCCCCCCCCGTAAGACAACAAAACTTTTGGAATGAATAAAAACTTAAAAAAATGATCTGTTGTTTCGCGGGGGAAGATGTTTTGAAAATAAATTTCCATTTTCCGTTAATTTCTATAGTGAAATATTTTCTCAAATAAAAGATCTATATCTCTTTGTTTTCCCAAATAAGTTATGTTTTACATACACGGATCTAGAGAGGGGGTGGGTGGGAAGGGGAGGATGGGTGTTTGTCCAGACCACCCCCTTGAATTTGTAGAGTTATTTAATGTATATACTAAACCAACTAAAAGCCACGGTGACCTTGGAACCCCCCCCCCCCTCCTAGAAAATGTAGATATGAAGCATAAGATGTCAACCCCTCCCCTCCCCCGCCGAAATAGGTTTTTTACGTTTAGGAAAGGAGTTTACTTTTTTGTTTTTGTTTTTTTTTGTCAAGAAATTTCTAGGTTGGATTTTTTTTTACTGGGGTGGACCCCTCCTGTAAAAAAATCCTGGATCCGCGCCTGGTTTTATGAAAATTCACATAAATATCAATATAAATATAAAAATTTATTCAAATATGTGTGGCAGTTGGCAGTGAGCAGTTGGCAGTAAGCAGTGAGCAGTTGGCAGTAAGCAGTTGGCTGTCGTATATGGAATTCCATAGGTTACTCTTTAAAATTAAAAAGGCTGTAATTCAACTAAAAACAAAAACAAAAAAAAAACAAAAAACAAAAAAAAAACATTGAAGTGGAGCGATCTGTAACTTATCAAGGGTTACTCACATACATGTACCAAAAATCAGCTCAATATTTGCAAGCGTTTAGGAAAAAAGTGCAGAAAAGCAAGTGAGCCAGGACAGACTGACAGACAGAAGGACAGCTAGATTGACGGACAAACGAGGAGGAAAGCTATACATTTTTTGTACTTGTACTCCCCTCCTGGTTCACCGGCAGAGGACTTATAACAGAGCTAAAGCCCATGTTTACACACTCACACACACACACACCTGTGGTGTGTTTGTTGTAAGGTTACGAAGAATGTCATTTCCAGTGAATATTAAGAATCTTCATGTAAGTTCATTTCATCAAACTTATTTTTCATATAAATAGAGATATAAAAACAAACCGGCAATACAACTGTGTCTCAATGTATGTCCCTTTAAAAGATGGAAGTGTATTATCTGCATATCTAACTCAACAAGTTATAGATATATGTTTATTCGGAGAGGGAGAAATCAACTTTAAATCAACAGGACCTTATTTTGTAATTATATAGGTTCTTTTCGTTAATGAAAATAAAATAAATACATTGAATTATAATGAATCCAAGATTCATCCAAGGTTATCATGTGCAAACACTTTAGGACATCGCTATTCTGATGGCTTCGATGTACATGTGTAAATCATAGTGATCTACATGTACTTAAATTTTTTTCCACCATTCATAAACCGTTCGAGCCGATTTCAAACAGCTAGGTGGTGAAGTTTTTTCTTCCATGCTTGTCAACAATAGTTAACGATCAGTGCTTTAGTAAAAATGATTGACTTGCTCATTCGGCATCCGAAAGTGTTCAAGACCAGAAAACACTACTACTTCACCCGAAGATCGTACAATGGGATCTTAAGACTTCGTCATTTGATGCATTTTAGAGACTCGGTGTATTGAATTTTGTGATCCTAGTCGAATTGAGTTTAATATATTTTAAACTCGCCATAAGGCCAAATTCGGTCAGTTTTAGTATTATTCATTGCGTAATCTCTTGCACGATTTGAGCACTTATTACAATGAAAAATAAGAGTAAAATGGGTATATTGAAAAAAGCTTCTCTTACACACAAGAGAAAAAAAAGGGTATAATCTATACTTCTGATAAAACCAATCTATTATTATCAGAACATACATGTATTTCACATTTATTGTTATATTCCTGTAATCTTAAAATGTGCAAAACTCGAACACAAAATTTATCTTCGATTTGTTCCACGATAAAAAAAAACAGAAGTCGTCCCCCCTCCCCCTTAAGAAAATATACCGATTGGGAATATCTTTAAGTCATATTTACAGTACTTTCTTTCGTTTGTAAAGAATTTATTGTACAGAGAGGCGTGGCAGTCGAGTCGCGCAGCGACGAGACTGTAACCCGCATCTCTGTACAACAAATCCCTTACAAACGAAAGAAAGTGTCTGTAAATGTCTTGTGTCATGGTCATTTGCATAGTCACTCCTTCAGCACCAATCTGCACGCGACATTACGTCACAGGCCTTGGTCCATCGTAAGTGTACATGATGTTCAAACAAAGCAGAAAGTACGAAGGAGATGGTTGCATTGAAAAATCAAGCGATGTTATACGAGTGTGCAATTGTATTTGATGGATTGAGTATTTCAAAAACCATAATATACACAGGCACAATACTGGAAACTTCGATCCGCCCGCATTATGATCCACTACATTACTGTTATTAGGAATACGCTTGCATTTCCTGAGGAAATCTGAGTCAATTACTGTAGCCACAAGTGTCAAAATTACGGAATGTAGTGTGAAAGAGTCCAAATACATGTATATACGAACGTATCCGTTTGCATGTAACTCAAGGAACCCAGAAAACAGGTGCTATTAAGGGAATCGTAGAACTGCGCGTGTTTTCAATATTGTAACATTTCAATTATCTGTTTTAATTTGAATACATGAAATTCTGTGTATTTTTAAAAAAAAAAAAATTTAAAGCAGTTAACTGAGTTTCCATGTATTCCTCTAAAATGGTTCTCACGTATGCATTTTCAGATTGAAGGGAGGGGGGTTGAATTTTGTGAGGTTTCTCATGTTTCCACTGCATATGTTGTATATACTTAATTACAGAAATTGGAGAAAAAATATTCAAAAAGTATTGAGTTCTTTTGGAAGTTATTGTACAGTACATTGGAAGTTATTGTACGGCTAAGCTTCGCCCCCTAGAAGTTATAGTACGTTTTAATTCAGAAAACGCTTTTCTATCTGATTTAAAGAATGGCTAACATCAAAAGAAAAAGTACCGCACCGTGACACAACTGAAAACATTACGACGAAGATTTACAGTGTCCTTTCACTAAACTTTATAAATTTAGATTGCAATCTACCACATTACAAGATTGACGAAAAACCAATGCCGAACTTATCCATTAAAACTCGTACCTAGATATATTTTTACCGGAAAATTGTGTATATTTGAAGTTCACATTTTCTTCTATGGTTAAGAAAAAGATGACATCTGAGGGATTTGTACGATGGGCATAGAAATCTGTACAAATTAAGGAATAATACACACGAAACATTTGATTTAATCAGCTGCAAAACCACGAAAGAAAAAAAGAAAAGGTTCAAAACAAATAGTCTTCAAGCAAGTGCACCCTATGGGGGATACTTATATATAGGCATTAACAAGAAAGCACACCAAGAAAGTCAAAAGGTGAAAATAGCAATTTTTTCAACTTTTCTACCGGAACAGCTGGTTGCTCTGTCCATGTTGAATGAGGGCTTACAATTTAGACATAATTGAACTGGTAAGAAATTTCTTTCACTTCAAAATGGTTTTCCGCCAACGAGAAATAAAATACACACTGAAGAACACCTGTGAGAAGCGTACACTCTTAAAGATGTTTCATTCCATGTTTTGCGTTTGCGGAGCTATAATTTGTTCTTGTATCATTGTAAGAAATATATTTTCGAATTAATATTTTCTTTTCAGTGGATGGTATGGAAAGATATAAAAATTCACTCATCAGATTTTGTGTCAAAATCTGAATAAAATGCACTCGATTGTATTTTGCAATGTATACAGTTTGTTTAAACACGTTTTGTTTATACAGGTAAGCAAAACAAAGTCAACATCGTGAAATGCTTTTACTCATTATTTGATAGGTCTGATAGAGAACCTCGTGACTTTGCAGTGAACATTCACGACGATGATGAAGATCCAAAAGATATGATGATCAAAATAGATAGCTCGGAAAACTCACCCAAATCAAAGTGTTGTTTTTGTAGGATTCATTCAATTATATCGAGGTTGATTTCAGGCGTAAAGCTGTGGCTATTGACCCGAGTTTTCAACAGAATCGTGGGAGATGATCAGTATGTGTTATTTCTTTTAATTTATTGCCTTTTTTAAAAAAAAAAACCTTTTTCTATATGCATTAAAATAATATATTTGTTTTAATAATAGTCACTTCAATTGATGCATTGTCTGTCTTTTGGATTTCATTTGTTGTTGAATTTAACAGACTATTATTCATGATTTACTATATTAAAGAGTAAAGACCTAATCAACAATTATATGTCTTTATTTTAAACATCTTAAATCCTAATTTAACAAAGAAATTATCTAATGGTAATTAGGAAAGGACATCCAAAGAAAAACTAAATATCTAATTTACCAATCATACGGAAAATGGCAATCCGAAATTATAATCTACTCTGCTGGAGGTAATTAGATAGATTGTACTGTTTCTCTATGTACAACGTCAAATGCTATATACATGTGTATAAGAACGTGTCACCTACAAAGAGAAAAAAAATCAGACCCAATCTGTCATTAAATCGAGTGTTAACTGACGTTTTAATACAAATTTTAGCCATTATTTTCATACTGAATTATCTACGGATCTTTCCGTTTGCCCAATCATAACACAGAGCACACGGGTGAGTCTGACTGGTCCACAGGGAGGCTTTCTCCTCCATGACACTTGCTCCAATCTCTGATGTTTTGGAAGTCCGTGTTTGCTCTGCTCCTATTTTGTATTGTTTCAATGGACTTCTGAGCTTGATTACTGTTCGTTGTCTTCATATATCATACCAATATCAACACAGCAGACACATACAGTGTATTAAAAATCAAATTCTTATTTAACTGTGTGATCAGTTAGAAAATGATAAACGAAATATGTCAACAAAAACACAATTACCAATTTCAAGTTCTCAAATTTGACTGCAATGTGAATGATGGTAAACCGTAATTTGTAACATACTTAGATTAACCTGCGTATGAAGTTCAGAATATCACACACGTAAACAGAACAAAGCGCAAGATTTAATCAAATTATTATTTATAGGAGACGAATGGATAGACATTATCAATTGAAGTATAGAGCAAATGTGATTTGGGGGGAGGGGGGGGGGCAAAAATGCCTTCTTTTGATTTTCATATTTTCATCAATAAAAAAGGATTTAAAAATGTATTTATATAGAGTTTCATGCACTGAAAACTCCTTGAGCTTCAATGCATTCTGTTATATAAAGCAAGATTTATTGTGTCCATCGGTCCAAGACAATGCCCTGGAAATAAACTACTTAATGAATTCATTTTATAATTGTTCTCACTAAAATCAATATAAAAAATAACCTTGTTAAATTCAATTACTATGTTTCTTAGATATCCAATCTTGTGCGCAAAATGCCTATTCAATGCGATGTTTTGGACCTTTGGAAGGATTTTTTGCAATCGCTTCTGTAAAGGACTATACATGCCTGTTTACGGATGTTTCAAGAACATACATTTACACATTTGTAGTAGACATCAAGTGGAAACAACACGAAGGTATTTTCAAGCATGGTTAGGTATTGCTTTGATAATAACTCTAAATAACCAGATTTTATTAGTATATTTGTATTTAACAATTCTATCTGCCTGTCTGAACTCAGAACCTGACAGAACGCACATTTTTGTGCAATTTGTATCTGCAATCATTATGCTTCAAAAATGTCATACTGTGAAATTGATTTTTTTTGTGTAAATGTAAGTATAAATTTCACATCAGCTTAATTGTTTTATTGTAAAATTAACATCTGTCTTCATGGGTGCTTGTTTTGCACGCCTGGCTGTTTAATCTTTCAAAAGTATTTCTATCGTATGTATTACTTCAGTATCTTAGGAATAATGATATCAAAGTATTATTATCACTAAATCGAGGTATCCAAAACTCAATATTTACACTGTGTATATCCACTTGAAGAAGGAGTGAAAGCCTCTATTGATTCTTTGCAATTACTTAACAGATATTCTCAAAAAATTGAATATACAATAATTTAATTGTGATATTGGTATCCTCACTACATGAATAAAATTTTTACAATATACAATTATTGACTTGGATTGAGGGCAACATGCGTTTTGTCGGACCCAAGAACCAAACTGTTTGCATGAGGCCGTTAGGCCGAAGGCAAACGGTTTGGTTCGAGGGGTACGTCGAAAAAACGCACATTGCCCGAGAACACAGTCAGTAAATGTTATACCTTTTAATTCTTTTTTGTTTAACATACATATATCTTGTTCTGGCTTCCGTGATGTAAATTTCCTTTACCAGCACTGAGGTAAAACTCGGTCAATCCCGTCACTGTCGAACGCCAACGAATGCAAATGAGATTTAGCTGATCCCGCCCATTGTGTGATGTAAGTGGTCCAATATCTCATCGACAGGTCCAATATCTCATTCCACGGTCAAACATCGATTTATTTATGACCGCTCAGTAAAACATTGGAAATGTTAGACTTTTTTTTAGTTTAGATTTATATAGGAACAAAATTTTAAAGGTATAACAATATTAGATTCTATACTTCATGACCCCGAATCTCAAATTATTAAAAGATACCCATGCACTGTTACATGTATAATGCAAACTGTAATAACGATGAAAAATGCTATATAATCTTGTATTAATATATTTTGCGTTTATATATTTTATTTTGAACTTGATGCAAAATGTAATGATGCAAAATATAGCAATCCCATTTTATTACTTTTTACATCGTTAATACATTTGCGTTGTAACAAACCCTCCAAACTATATTTTTTAACAAAAGAATAAAAAGACTGTGTGATATTTTTAAGTAAAAGATATAACGTTTTCTTGAGAGTCAAACAAGAGATTCTTGTATTACTTTAAGTAAATACAGACCCCTACAGCAATTTGATGAAGAGGAGCTAAAAGAAGAATGGCACAGCCTAAAGGCCAGGTAAATAAATTATACAAGCATTTTGTGTCTAATGCAACCTGTTTCCATAACAGGGTACAACAAAACAGCAACGTTTTATATTTTGTTCATTGTGATATTGGTGTAAAAGATTCACATTATTGTCAGTTTTGTGTGGTGCCTCAACTCGAACACTAGTAAACATGTATTTCCAAATAATAGCAATGTTCAAATTCGTAGACTTGACAGAATGCATTTTTTTTTTAAATTCCATTCCTTGCATCCGTTTATGTCCGCACAAACATAATACAAAATGAATGATACTGTAAATTTTGGAAATAATTTTCTATGTAATCAGAGTTTAAACTACGTTTCTTTATTACAGACTCTCAGATAGCGAAATCGATGTTAAAAGACTAGAAACCGAAGTTAAAAGACTGGAAACCAAGTAAATACACTTACCCGTGCTTAGTATTTATATATGTAACCATGAATTTTAAAATGCATTAAAATATGAAAATACAAGTGGAGGTTAATACATAAACCATACATAGATACAATTTTATATATAAGATTTGCTGAAAAAGAAGTTCACTTGAAAAATGTGGAAAAGGCCCTTGAGGACGAAAGAAGAGAAAAGAGCACAGCTACTTTGAAGTATATCTTTATTGCAATTTTAAAGTCTCACAAGAACACAGCTATTATGAAGTATTAATGTGCTTACATGTAATATATACAATCCAATTTATTATTATTGCGATACATAAATCCTCCATCCTATGAAACTTTGATGTATTGCATGTGATTGAACTGTACTCTCAATTCTTTTATGCTCTTTAAACCTTTATAGAAAGAAAATAATATCCATCTTCTATGTTTTATAAAAGAAAGAATAAAAGGTTGAAAAAATGAAACAAAGTTAGAAGAAAAAGGTACACCCCAATTTGGGGGCGGGGTGAATTGGTATAACTTGCAATAACGTTTGCATGCTAACTCATCTGAGCTGAGAACTCATGTGAATGATGTGGATTGCTTTTTTAGTCACCTGAGTCACACTTATGACGTGTTGATATGGCTTTACGACTGGTATTCCTAAATTTGCTTAAAATTTCTTTTCTGAAATGGCTTCAACGAAATACCGAAGTTTAGGAAGCAGTTCTCTACCAAAATTTTATTATTCATTGGAGCCCTGTTTCCATTGCACATGTTGCATGATTATGATAAGTTGCTAGCCTGCTATCAAAATATTGAAATTCATGTCCCCATGCTACAGGGTTCAAGGTCCTGGGTAGACTACTGCGATAATAATATTGAAAATATACCTTTCAAAGTTTTTTTTTTTCTCACGAAAAATTTGCAGATAAACTGTTTGCATTATTATAATGCCCAGCTGTTAAATTCATGGCATAAATCAGAATCGGACAAAGTTTGTCATTTATTACATATAAAATATACATTAATCCTTTGATTTTTTTAATTTCACTCATAGGTATCTCGTAGGCAAACTGTTTGCTTTATATTAGTGATCAATTAGCCTGTACAATTTTGTAAAGATTAACTTTCCCGCGTCCAAGATTCCAGGATTTTTCAATTATTGAATTTGCATTCATCACATATAAACTCATGTCATTTGAGTCGAGTTTCAGTCGTACTGTAGGTGATCTGTCAAAACTGGTCATAGCTTCAGAAAACTTGATACTATTGTGACAGCCAAGGCACATGGGCTTTCTGTCTTCACAGAGCCATAACACTGATTTCAACAGCACGTTATGCATTTGAATGTGTCTTGTTTCCATCAAGTGCCTATCAAATTAGTTTATGAATAAAAACAAAATTGTCTACGTTCACAATTTTCTTTTTCTAAAATTGCGCATTCTTTACGGTGCTTCTGATATCTGTCATCTTCATTTTAGATTAAAACAAGAAAGACAAGAGAAAGAAAATGCACTTAAAAGGTACACTTTCATATTTTAACAAGAAACAAAAAGGTAATACAACGTATATATTCATTTGATTCTCGCGATTTACACACATATCATGGGAGCTTCTGAGTGCACCATCCTTTCTTGATTTTTAGATTTCACGTCATGACTTCTAGTAACTAGTTTAAAAGTGTTTTGTGATGGTCTTATTTACCTTATTTTGCTTTTCCTCAAACCTACGGTGTCGTTTTATTGTAAGAAATAAAGAGATCAAATGAAAAAATTGGGTAGAATAGGTTATCTATACAAAGTGTTTGAAATACCATATGCATGTACATGTATATCAATCAAATCATGCACTCTTAATGTTCTCTTCATACATTGTATCTATATTTCAGTCTTGAAGAAGAAAGACTGGAAAAGGAGAGAGCACTTACAAGGTTAACATGTTTTTTCAAAGAAAAATATATTCTGTTGTATTTCCTGCAATATACACCTAATTTAAGCCATGACTCAAAAGCCATTTTCCACTTTTATTCAAAATAACAGACATTAAGGTAATTTAAAATCACAAAATGTCAAATTGCTGTCAGTTTGCTCTCTCGACAATTTTTCAGGAATGGGTCACTTTTATTACATACTCATATACACCATATGCTCAAAAATTTAATACCTCAAAGTTGATTGGTTTAAAGGGACAAAGCCACAATTAGATTAGTATCTTATTAACAATTTTAAATTTCATTATTAATTTAAAAATAACTTTTGCTAAATAATTGGAAATAGTATGACAGTTTTTGTAAGTATACACTGACAACGGCATTATGCATAACTTAAGACCAAACATCTGTGTAACCTTGTTAATGTGTGCTCGAGCTCTGTTATTGTTGATGCTTACATTAATTTTTTCGTTTTTCTTTCTCATTGTTTTGTAGATTAAGTGCTGTTGCTGGTGATAAGCTCAGGTTAAACAATCCTGGTATAGCTGATTTATCTGACGAAAATCGCCCCAACAAACTAGCAGAAAAGTTCAGCGAACTGTACGACAATGAATGGACTGAAGTATTCGAAGCTTTAGAGTTAGAAAACTTTGAAGAAGAAAAAATAATTGAAATGCTTCTTGAATTATTGAAGGTATATTCCAAAGATCGGCGAGTAAAGTTACAAAATAAAATACTACGCAATAGAATATCAATAAGAAAAAAAGTTATCATGTTTCTTAAGTTATTTTGTCTCCATTAGGAAATTTACAACAGCTGCCTGAGAATTGCTAGGAATCAGAGAGAAAGCCTGATAGAAGCCATTGCAAAACCATCCAAATCTGAAGTGCAGTTAGAGGTATATAAATAGATGATTTAAAATAGCACTTTGTTTCAGAATTGCAAATGCTTTTTCCCGATTATAATCCTGTGATTCCTCAGAAAACTCTAAGCTTTACTTTTCTATACACTTACTCAAAAGTTAGGGACTATCACTTATTCTATGTTATTTCTTTAGACATTAAATCATTCAATCTGAGTAGATCTAAACTCTCCGTAGCCAATGCAAGTGTCGGAATTATCTGTTAAGTAATTTTGTTTATGCAGTTGATAAATTTCCATTGAACAGAATCCATGACAAAAATTGTTAAATTCAAAGTTTCACTCTAATTTGTTATTGAAAAAAGTTGCTAGTAATAAGTATATTAAACTTTATTGACAATTAAAGAGTCATCAATATTCAACATTTTATAAGCATATTTATTTGTGTATCCACCACGACTTTTGTACAGTTCTATTGACAAGTCTCCTTAGATGGGTAGGGGGGAAGTGTCACCATTCCTCCATTAAAGCATCATTCAATTCTTGTATGTTTTCACATCCTGGGGCCCTTTCATTCATTCTACGACCAAGATAATGCCACAGGTGCTCAATTGGGTTCAAATCAGGAGACATGGCGGGCTAGGACAAAGTTTAAATGGCTCCCTGGCGAAGATAGTCCCTCACTTTTCGGGCCCATTAGTACAGGTCACTTGCTAATAAATGATCATCAAAATGAGGCACAACAAATAGGCTTAGAATGTTATCCCTGTAGTTTTGTGCAGCCAAGGTGCCATCAAAGATCTGCAGATCCAGTTTACTTCGCAAAGAGAAACATCCCCAAACTGTTACATTGCTTCCACCAAAGGCCTTTGTTTCCAATGCATGTTGTAATTTTTATGCAGAATTTGGATGTCTCCAAACTCGAACCCTGCTGTCTACCGGATGTAGCAAGAATCGGCTTTCATCTGACTTTCAATGCACTCTTTGCCACGACCGACCATTCAACCTCCTATGTTGTCGTGCCTACAGCAATCTTGCTTCCTTATGTCTTGGGGACAATAGTGGTCGTTTTATTGGCAGATGTGATCGCATCTGTTCCTTGTTTAGCGTCCTATTTACTGCACTTCTGCTGATGCGAGCTTGTATGTTCCATTTCCAGTTTATTTGCAGTGTCAAAAGGACTATGTTTAGCTAGTTTGTTTTAGAAGTTTGTCTTTCCTCTTTGTAGTCTTTCGGGGTCTTCCAGTCTTTTTACTCTCTTCCACACCTCCAATTCTTCTCCAGCGCTGTACCCGACCCTGAATTACAGTTAAGCTCATGTGAAAATAAATGAATACAGTTAAAAACTGCTTTGTTCGAACACGTCTTGAAAAAAAGGTTTTACACGTATTTTAATGGCGAAATAGATGTAACATAAAAGCACTTAATAAACAAACCTTTGATTGACTAGTACATCTGAAAATATTCGGTAAAAAAAAAAACAGAATTATTTTTTAAATTTTCATGTCAAAGGCTGTGGTTCTTAAACTTTTGAGTAAGTATATACTAAGTACAGTGTATATCCACAACATAAAAGATACATGTAGATTCCAGATTGTTGATTTTTTTTTTTACCAGACTGTTATTACTTTAAGGGAAAAGGGGTACAATAGCCACAACACTCACCTAAACATTCTGATAAATATGTAGATGAATCCCCTACAGTAGCCATAAATGTTTTTAAGTCCTTGTTTAAAAAATAAGTAACTATGTTTACGCTTGCAAACTTACAAATTGTTGCCTAGATAAGTGTTTTAGAAATATATTAAAAAATCGTATAGGAAATTTAAAAGGCAATATGCGAACCATCTATCCTTCCGTTTGTTTTTACTAAATTGGAGGTGATAAAATAATTAAAACGACTACATGATCAATATGTTATGGTTCCAGCCGTCAAGGCTTGTAACAATATTGTCTTTGTTTGTAAAGCTCATTATAAATTATAACTGTATTTTAGAAGAACTTGGTTTTAAATTCCATGTCTGAAAATCCAACTTAAACTCGCAGTTCACTTTCTAAAGATTAAATTCTTCAAAATCACATTTTAGTGTTCAATACTTTTGATACTGGATTCCCAAGCTTCATAAAAATCCTTACAAACGAAATACATTGCCAGGTCCAGCAAATGCTCTACCAAGCCTCTATCTTTCCTCGTTACAAAAATATTACCTAAAAATATTGATTAGAAACTTCAGACGCACTGTGCTACAGCGTATTCTAGAAGTGGTGTAAAACAGATGTGGATTCTCTAAAACTCCCAAGAACTTTTAGAAAATGTAAAATCGCCGAATTTTTTCAAAATTCAGTAACGCCAAGACGTACGAATTTTCTACACTTTATCCAACCATTCATTACGATAAATTAAAAACTAGGCTTTTGGATATTACATACAACTGCTTCTTAAATGTTCCTTTTCCTGATCTATACATAGGGCTCACAGCGGATGTGACCGGTCAACAGGGGATGCTTACTCCTCATAGGCACCTGATCCCACCTCTGGAATTTCCAGGGGTCCGTGTTTTGTGCCCTCTTCACATATTGGTATTGCTTAAAGATTTTTGAAATCGATCACTAATCGTTATCTTCACCTTTTCCATTCTTCCGGGAGTTTATGCGTTTGTTTAACCCCCTCCTCCCCTTAAGGCGCTACGTATCCTCAGGGACAGTGTTTTGAGAAAAAAATCTCTACTTCATTGGAGCAATTATTTATGAATATTACGTATTTTAGTGCTTTTCTTCAGAAGACGAAATTGTTGATATATTTTCGAAATTATTTTACATTAATTTGAGTTATTTTAGTGGCTAGCATATCAGTTTTGAAGAATGTTTTTGGTATAAATATATGTATATTATCATGACAAATGTTGACCGCCTATTGTGGCCCTAACAAGGGTTGGGTCTAAGACTTCATGAAGCATGAATCTTTAATTCTTAAGAAACCTTCCTCGAAAGATTTTTTCTTTTCTGGTGCAATAATTCTAGAGAAAACTGTCAAATGACAAAAACCCTTTATTTTTTTTTATTGATTTTTCCCATTAATTGGAACAAATTTGAATCTGTCACCCAAAATTGGTTCATATTTTGTTAAAACTGGCTCAGTTGCTCTAGAGAAGTGGAAAAGTTGAAAATTAACAAACCACAGACAGACTACTGACAGAAAACGAACAAATTTCGACCAGGAATTTGTTTGATCCAATACTGATTTAAGAACCCTCTATACACTGATGAAAAATGTTTTTTGGACTTTGCGAAAATTATATAGCGTAAAGGAGGATGTTTTGAAATTAACTAATTCATTTTTAATATAGGGAGCGTGCCTTTTTTATCCAGGAAAAATTTTCAAAGATAATGAAGTACATTACATGTATGTAATTATAAATAAAATTCGCTTTTGCTTACTCAAATGGAGAAAATACATGCAAATAAAGTTTTCAACTACTCTATCTTGGTCTAATATGATGTTTAGAATACTTGGATTTATTTTAAATTATGTCATACAGTGCAGGTTAAAATTTATTCTATTTCTATATCAAATGATGGGTCAGTCTAACTACACAAAAGTACCCTGAAATTAGGGTGGAGTGTAGAGAGGGTCCTTAAGCAGAATAAGAACTATTGCTTTATTAAATATTTTAATGTCAAAAGAATTTGTCTTGCGTGCACAGTAGGAGAAATTAAAAAATTATCTTTGTTTCAATTAGGCTTCACCTGAAGGAATGTTGTCAAAGGTGATCGATCTTCAGAAACAGACAGCTGCAGTCGCTTTCTCAGATGTGAAGAAAACGATTGTATGTATACTTGAATTTTTTTTTACAGTATGTTCTTAAAATCCTTATTCAAATATAGTCGTAAGAATAAACAATTCCCTTTTTACCTTTTAGTTTCATATGAAAACCATGTCCCAATTTACAGACCACAAAGTTAAGCAAAAATACATGGAGCGCTGTGTACAGTTGTGTTGGATGATGTCTATCCAAGATCCACCAATGATGCTAGATTTTGGTCCAGCACAAGACGAAGAAGTCGATAAGAATATCTTCAGAATGTACACGAAACAAGGAGACAGAGTAGATTTCATTGTCTGGCCAGCAGTGTTTCTTCACGAAAATGGACCCTTGGTTCAGAAAGGTGTCCTTCAACCAAAGTGATGAATGAGACTAGTTTGTGTACCGATCATATTGACCGACGTCTACATATTTTAACTGAATGAAAACAGACTACTACAATCTGATTAAATATCTTACATGTATCAGCAGCTTTTCCTATCTTGCTATCATTTTAGAATGGCATTTTTCATGTTTCAAAATGAAAATAATAATTTAATTATAATGTCTTTTATACAGGCACCATCAGGCATATTGCGAAGATTCAGTTTTTTAAACTTGTAGTCCCAGCTGATTAAAAATGAGGATGAAATAATATATTCAAAATTGAAAGAAAAGATTTTTTCAGAACAATGAAGCTAAAACTAGTAAAAGTAAATTGTGAAAATTTCATTTTAGTACAAATCATCCCCACTCAGACACAGATGGTGCATAAAATAATTTAAAATTCCTTTAAGGTCAAAATCTAGTAAATGAAAAGAGCCTACAGATTTCTCAAACTTGAGAAATAAATTCCTTTTATGATGTTTTATAACTAGAGCTCGGTCAAATAAGGTGTATCGGGGCATAATTTGTAGGAAAACAAGACGAAAAATTATTTTGTAAACCGTCATTTTCAATGAAAAATTAAGAAAGCCAGTCATGAATATGGGAGTTTTTTCCATATCAGACAAAGGAAATGTATCCAGATTGCCTACAGTCTCTCAGAAAACGGTAATTCGTATATTCTTAGCCTCTTCTTTAAAATAATGTAAAATTGAATATAGGTATCGGGATTACTTTTTCACATGATTTTAAATTAATTGCTATGAAAATTCTTTATTTTCTTCATAATTCTATTTGGGCTGTAAAGTACGGGAAAAGGAAAGTTTAAATTGTTTATGACGTCATAATGGATCTAGCACCAAAAAGACAGTCTAAAGTCATTTACTAGATCTTGACCTTAAGCTGTATGTTACTTTCATTTTGCTCTCAGTATATAGGGTGAGTTAACCATGCATCGGACACATACCTTGCTTCGGACAACTTCAAGCAATAAACTTTCATTGAACCTGAGTCTCCCCATGTTTTTACTTGTTTCTGTCTTAAAGATGAAGAATTAAACTTTTTAATGATGTCGATTTTTAGTTTCATGCTGTGATAAAAATACCACAAGAGCCTTGAAATTACGTCATATTTTGCATCATCAAAGGGGAGTAAACAGAATTTTACGATTTTGCAATTTTTAGAGTTGTCGTTCTTTTAAATAGACGTCAACAGAAGGGACGGGCCTTGATAAAATTTGCCAATGATTGATAATATTACAGAAATTTTTCAAAAATTTTACTTTAATGTTTCTAAAATATATTTTAGAGTTGTTTTTAACTAGTATGTTTATTTCACCGTACATCGGACACAAATTAACCATGCATCGGACACTTTCTGATGCATGGGTAATCACTTCCATTTTCATGTAAAACCCAAATGACAGCTGTTTTTTACGGAAATCGAAAATAGAAACTCTAAATTTTCAATGAAAATACAAATTATAGATATATGACGACTAGAAGTGGACTCAATTTATTTCTTTAAACTATATGATTATATCCCACGAGACAAAGGCGCAAGTTACCATATTACTAGCATTGTAAAGCCTTTCTAAGGCGATGTGATGCAACTAAAATCTCTTCATATTTGTGGATCGAAATAGTCATTCAAATTTAAATAGAAGGTTAATTTTTAAATAAAAGATAGAAATGTTTCGATATCACTAATTTTAAAGCACCGAGATCAAGGTATATTTTTCTGGTTTAAATATCGTATGTCCGATGCATGGTGAATATTGTCCGATCCATGGTGAATTCTGACTTATTTCGAAAAAAATCTTTTTTTAATTATATTTTCTCAATAAATAGGGCACGATTGTGTCAAAAATTTATATTTTTAACCACATACTACATGTTAAGTTCCATTCTGATAATATTCGGTCGGTAGCGATATCGCTAAAACTTGTTGAAGTGCAAGGGTGTCCGATGCATGGTGAATTCACCCTACTTACATTTGTATTGCATGATACTACCCCTCGTAAGTTGATAAGGAGAGTCATGTCTATAAAGTTATTGAAGTGGAGGAAAGCGGTTTGCCCCTCCCTAAGCCCTTACGTATACCTGAAATAAGTATTTAAGGTTTTTTTTTTCCTTTTTCTAAAAAGTTCTCGGTCGTTTTAAAAAAAAATTTTTATTATAATAATTTTTTGAGAAGGGTGGAACCCCAACTCCAATATATATATATATATATATATATATATATATATATATATATATATATATATATATATATATATATATACATGTGTATATTATGAAAACGCTTTGTCGTAATCAATACTTGTCAGAACCAGTTTTTAAAGCCATCTGTTTGAATGATTTCTTAAGCAATTGGCTCTTCCATAAATATAGCATGTGGACCAATAGCACATTATTTTACGCATTTAATCACTTTATATAAATAATTTATACAGATATATAAATATAAACGATATTATAATGTCTTCGTCATTGTAGGGATAATGGTTGCAATCAGTGTAGAAAAATTTATAGTTATTTTTTCCACAATGATGCAATCCTTTATCCCTTCATTAACGAGCACAAAGAGCATTTTATGTTTCAATAAAATATATATTGTTTCTTATTTTATATACTTTAAACTTTACACAGTTAGATAATTCATCTGTTACACATTTTTACAGTGTCCGAAATAGGATATTTTGTTTTATGAACTTCAAGGCGTATTTTTATAATTGGATGTGAAGCTTTTGTAGACAGAATTGTGAAGAATGTGTTTTTGTTGATGCATATGCCGGATCCATCCAAATCGTATTAATATTAATGTACGTCAAAACCAATTAAAACCTGAAAAAATCTTTAAATTGATAAATTAAAAATTGAAAAGATATCTTTTGTTCAGATATTTGTAGTGTCAGTCTATTCAATATTCATTATGATGTATTTCAGCCCATTTACGATATCCCATCTGATAATGCAAAGAATAAAACGTTTACTCAATGTATTGTCTTCGAGGTATACTTATTCCTCCAAACAGTCAAGGTAAATCTCGCGCACACACGGGACCTTCTGAAGATTTATTTTAGGCAGTTCTCTCACTATCATTTAACTAAAAAGGCAATTTTATATCGTATGTTTTGTTCTACCCAGGAACTCGATAGAAAAGCTTCCACTTAGAAAACAACCATTTCAATTACATACTAAAGATCTATGATATTTTTATATATTTTTTTCTTCTGTATTCATTTAAAGTTTCACAATTCGTCATTACTAAATCTAAATCAAGCTGAACTGCTTTCAGGTGAGCAGTGACGTCATCAAAGGTTGCCATTTTTCGTGTGTTGTGTTCACCACTTTCCTAATTCACTGCCAAAAAATTAAGCAAATGCCTTGACATTTTCCAGATGACAACATAGTAGGAAGTAAATTTAAAGATATGATCATTTTTTCCACAATCCTTTCTATTTAATATTTTTATTTCGAATCGAAATTATTATAATACTACCGTATTCTTAATGAAACCCTGATTATTTGGTCGTGCGCCGTAGAACCATCAAGTGTAAAAAAAAAAAAATCCTAATTTTTGTCTTTATTTTATAAAAAAAAAATTGCGATTTATTAAATATGATAAATAACCATTTACTGAAAATTTCAGCTAAGTTCCAGCATTATCTTTCGATTAAAACACTGTATATTAATTTTACAGTTAATTCCGTATTAAATTTTGCTTACAGTGATATTCTGGTTATAATTATTTTCACTGACTTGCCGATTTAAATATCGCTATGATCTTTATATAACAAAAAAAAAAATTCAGTATGTATATATCTTTTATCTCGGTGGTTGTACGGAAGCTATTAGTGCCACATAATATTTCTTTTAAAAGTTAGTAATTCCAACTTAAAAATGGGTAATTCCAATTTTAATCATGGTTTTTCCAACTTTAAAGTTATTTAAACTTTATACATTCAATATGTGCTTAATATCAACATTTTAGAACTCTTGAATTATACGCAGGCAAAAGAGGTTTTGGTTGACATAAATACGTACTTATCTGATGAATAGTGTCTCAGGAAACCTTACGAGACAATTTTAAACTTTTTGATCTAGGCAAATTTACATATTAGTGTTAACATGCTTAGTATAGTATAAATCATATGCGATACCAAATTTGATGCACCGAATGCGTATTTCGACAAATAATGTCTCTTCAGTGATGCTTTATCAATATTCACTTTAAATATTAGAACTAAAGAAATATTGTTGAATTCAACACTATATCAGTAAATCATTTGCATCAAATTCACAGTATTTCATCATGTATACATCATAAATCACAAAAATTACATCATCTATATTTCGAATTATAGCAGTTTAAAACCTCACGCGTACGGTATTAATGAAACAGAAACATTAATTTTATAAGTTAAAGATTATTTCTCTAAAATTAGATGCAAACATCAGGGGAAAGTCATCTACCTTAATTTATAATCAATATACTGCAACAAGAATATGTATAATAAGTGTTATCTATAGCTAACACTTTATTGTAAAAAAGATTTATAAATAAATATATATATTGGCTATATAATGTTGTTCCTGTAAACTGCATGCAGGATAAGCAAGAACAGACCAAATTTCGAACCTGTTCTATACTTATCATGAATAAAGAATATGAACAATAATTTAATTTGTAACCGCAAATTTTTAATTCGTTGATTTTATTTTGTGGCACAAACTTTATTTCGTTCCAAAATTTTTTATTTCGTGGCCACGTATTTTATTTCGTTCCTACAAATTTTTATTTCGAGGCCACGAATCTCATGCATGTACCATATCCTACGGAAGCCAATTTAGGACCTATCAAAAATATTTTTAATATAATATACGAATTGTCAAATTGAAGATTATTTCACTTATATAGACAAAGGGCTTTAACTCAGCACTCAGGAATATTTTATTTATTGCCCAAAAAGAGGGTGCAATTGCATCCAATGTATCCCCCTTGGTAACGGCCTTGCTAAATAAGAACTGCATTAGGACACATTTTGAAATTAAAAGATACCAAAGAGTCCACCATCTCTGTTTCATATATGGGTGTTCTTCTGACTATACACGATGATCAATTAACAACTAAACTGTGTGACAAAAGAGATTACTTTAACTTTTCCATCGTCAACTTTCCTTATTTAAGTAGTTATATTCCACTATCACCAGCATATATATGGTACAGGTGTTTTTGTTCCCAACTTACATGATACTCTAGAGCATGCTCTGAGTAGGATCAGTTTTTAAACGAGACAGGCTGCTGACAGACAGGTTAATGTTTTTGCAAGGATTTCAACAACCTCGTTTAAAGTCAGCATTTTGTATATTCTATGGTCGTTATAATGACTTTTCAGTTAATATAACCTATCATTATATTGACTGGCATTTGTTAGGCCTTGATTTTTATACTTAATTTGACCACAGATTATTCCGTCTTTTTGGTCAATGCAAGTGGCTCACGGCGGGTATGACCAGTCAACTGGGGATACTTACTCCTAGACACCTGATCTCACCTCTGGAATTTCCGTGTTTTATGTCGTGTTCACAGTTTTATATTGTTTGTAGCTGTTGTCGAGATCGATCACTGTTAGTTATCTTCACTTTTTTCATTTGAATGAAAGCATTTTCAAATTTGCTAGAGTAGAACTATTTTAAAAAGAAATAAGAATTGACATGAAAAATTAGGACTTTTCAGGTCGTCCCCTTGATTTCAACATTATTTTTAGGAATTTTAGCAAAACTCAATTTTTCCCTTTACATGATGGTATCCTTTTCAGTTTAAAAATAATTACAGATAACTTTCCAGAACAGCATGTCTCTTCGAATTTCTAACTGTGATGACATGATTGTTTTCTTCTCTAGGGCATACATTGTAGAATAATGCAAACTTGGTGTACAAAATTAAAAGCATTAATTAATTAAATAAATTATTTTGTTTCAACATCTGTACTTACGTTAAATGCA